CCTGTGGACTGAAGGGTCTCGGGTTCGATTCTAGTGAAGGGCACATGCCTGGGTTGTGGGCTTGATCCCCAGTGGGGGGCGTGCAGGAGGCAGCCAGTCAATGAGTCTCTCTCATCGTTGATGTTTCTCTTTCTCTCTCTCCCTCTCCCTCTCCCTTTGAAATCAATAAAAATTTTTTAAAAAAATCAATAAGAAGCAAATGAAAGGAAAGTATCTGTGGCTGTTCATGGGAATGACAAGGCTTATTGCTCTAAAATTTACTCAACTGAGTTTTAAAATTCATTGACAACAGTCATTTTCAGAAATAAAAATGGTTCATTTGTTTCTTTTTCAAATTTGCTCACTTTTTTCAAAGGTCCTGTTTGTTGAATTTGTTTCTACTCCTCTTATCTCTTTTAATTAAGTTAAAAACCTATTTATCTCTCTCTCACAGTTTTACCATCATCTCTAGTTCCCTGGGTACCGGTGCTCCTATTGTTCCCTTTGCTGCCTCTCCCTCATGGTGGCTCTTTTCACATGAGGTGGGTAGACAACAGGGGCAAATCCACAGAATTCTGAGTGGGAAAGATTATGATCAATTATATTATCAATCAAGTTATCTTCTTTGTATAAAGGCAACAGCTACCGTATAGCAAAAGACTCAGAAAATACACATCGAGGGCTCCTACTAAAAAGATTAAAATTACAGACCAGCTAATTATTAGATAAATCAACAGCAACAACTCAAGGGTCTATAAGAAAAGAGGGCATATAAACAGCAATGTTCATTTTTCCCTTCTAAGAACCCATTCTGAGGACAAAATGTAAAATGTGGTCAAGAAGCTATGCACCCACACATACTGGCATATTGCAGTTATTAATAAGAGGGGGAAGGAAATACTTAGGTGTCTGAAATGGGCAGACTATCCACATGACAGAATGTTTACAAAGAGCTATTGATTATGCTGAGAACTATTTACGATATATGTTAATTTTAAAACATGGGTTCAGCAATAGAAAGGAAAAATACACAGACGGCCAGAAGTAAATATGCCAAAATGTTAACAGTGATTAGATGATAAGATTACGGATATTTTGGGTGTGTATTACTTTATGTTTTCTTACACATTGGGAATGTCAATGATGAGCCATATTAATTGTATAATCAGAAAAGAGTAAAATGTATATGATATTTTTTTAAAAAAAATGAAAACTTCTAAGGGTCACACACTAACAGTCAAGAACATAAATATCTGGGGTAATATTAAATAATGGGGTAATATTAAATAAGAAAGATAAAATGTCATTACTGACTCTGACATCATTATAGTCTACAATTTACTCTCAACGCAGCAGCCAGAGCATCCTCTGAAAAGATGGGGAGGTGGGGAGGACTCAGGTCATGTCTCCCCTCCACTCCCGACCCTCAGAGGCTCCCCATTCCACTCAGAGTAAAAGCCAAAGTCCTACCATGGCCGGCAGGACCAACACGATCCGACCCCCTGCCACATCTCCGACCTCCTCTCCCAACCCTGACGAACGCCAGCCACGCCAGTCTCCTCGCCAGTCCCCCAAATCACCAGGCACCCACCTGCCCCAGGACCTTTGCACTCACTACCCCTCGCTTGGCATGCTCCCATCCCTACAGCCACACAGTGCGCTTCAGAGCTCTGCTCAAATGCCATTGGATCAGGAACCCTTCCCCGCCTCCCCCGTATCGAATAACAGCTACCCCCACTGTTCCAGCACCCTCTCCCCCTCCCCTGGCACTGTATCTCCACCTGCGACATGGCGGCATTGACTCTACTGCGTCTGTGGTCTCCCTCCCATGGGAAGAGCTGTTTGGCCTGGTCCATAGAAGATGCTCAATAACATGTGCTGAGTGCCCGAATGGACACAGGCATTAGACTGTCAGCCCCTCAGGAGCAGAGGGGCTGAAGCACCCGCCTCCCCCCACACCATGGACGTGCACCAAACAGGCAGCAACGCCCACCTGACAAGCCCAGGGACGTGTAACCAGCACTCATCTCACTCCAGAAAAAAAGTGTTTAAAAGCTCAGCCAGAGATGATGGGAGCGAAGCATCCGGAGGAAAGATAAGAGCGTTGGTGCAAGAGTCTCCATCAGACCATTCAAGTTCTCCCGTCGGGACGCGCTTCCCCCGCAGGACGGAGCTCCTCAGTCTTATCACGGACTCAGAACCAGCTGTAAGCGGCACTTCAAATGACATTTTAAATGCTCTTTCTATTTAGCTATCTCTTTGTTGTGATTAGATCTCTTTCTAAGCAAAATTTTTTAAAAAGGCATTAGCAAACCAATTACCCTGTCACTCTCCCATCCCAAACGTTGGCAGGAAAAGGCGGCACCTGGGTCCGGTACCCAAGGGCACCCGCGCTCGGGACGCGCACACCGAGTGCCCACAGTTGGCCTGGCACTGCAGAGACGGGACGTGGTGTCCTTCATCTTGCTGAGTTTTATTCGCCTCTGGAAATTCAAGGACAAAGTGATAGCGTGATGCACAGCTTCATATGCGTTGCCTCAGAAAGATAAGGAAATTCGTCCTAAGCTATTTCAGATGTCCGGTGCTCCAGCGATTAGGAAGGGCTGGTGGTGGGCCCCGCACGTGCTATGCCAGGGTAGCTGGAGGTGGGGACGGGCAGGGCCAGCCGCCTCTGCTGCCGTCCACTAAGCTATTACGCTGGCGACATCCGTCTTGCCTTTCACCCACCTTCTTTTCTGTGACAGCTCCTTCATCTCTGTCCTCTAACAGCTCAGCTGTGACTGTCATTTCGTCCTGCGGAGGTGTCTCCCACAAGATGCCGTTTTAAGGAATGTCCTCTCTCACAGAGAGCTGCGTCTTAGGGGAGACTTCCAGGAGGACCTCCCGTTCAAAGGGGGTGCTTCTGGCTGGGAGAGAGGGAGGCCTCTGATGCTTGCAGAGTACCTGTGCCAGGCCGGACATGTACGCTTTGCACATCAATCACTTTGTACATCTAAGGTCCTGGCTGAATTCTTTTTAAAAAAAAAAAAATATATTTTATTGATTTTTTTACAGAGAGGAAGGGAGAGGGATAGAGACTTAGAAACATCGATGAGAGAGAAACATCGATCAGCTGCCTCCTGCACACTCCCCACTGGGGATGTGCCCGCAACCAAGGTACATGCCCTTGACTGGAATCGAACCCAGGACCCATGAGTCCGCAGGCCGACGCTCTATCCGCTGAGCCAAACCGGTCTGGGCCTGGCTGAATTCTTACAGCGTCTCTAAGAAACAGAGATTATCATCTCCGAGTCGGGATGAGAAATCAGGGACCTCCAGGCAAGGCGGAATGTTAGTTCACATGCTGGGTACCTTCCCGGTTCCGAGGAGCAGGTTCTAAACACAGCAAGCACACCTATCTGCGCTCAGAAACAAGGTGTTCACCTCGATGGATGAGAAACTCCAAATGTTTCCTATTTGGAGGAGCTGAAGGCCCAGCCCGTGGAGTTCTGGGCCCTTCGGCCGGTGGAGGCAACCGGGAGCTTGGTCTTCTAGGGCACAGGGACCACGGGAAGTGGGGGACCAGAGCCAGAGCCACTGAAAACGGGGGCTGGTGACAGGGTTTCCCATCTGGGAAAAGAGGCTGAAGAAGCAGAGCTCCCCCCTGCATCCCCTAACTAGAGCTCACCTAAGACTACGGACACGGAGGGGAGCTGGAAGCGGCACCCACACAGCCAGGGCCCGGCCAGACTGCCTGAGGCTTTGATGACTGGCCCTGGGAATAGTCCCCTTGTCACATGGACACAGCTCATCACTAGCCCGAGAGCCTGGCTCTGCACTGGGCCCCCCAGGACCTGGGTGGAGGTGATGAGCAGGGAGAGCAAGAGGGGGACACGGACTCCCCTTCAAGATGAGCACACAAACCCAAACCCCAACGCATCCGGGGAAAGCTGACGCGAAGAGGGAGAACCAGCAACACCAACAGCCGGGAGACAGTCCCAGAGACTTAGTGGCCTGAAGACAGGACTGAACAATGTGTGCAGGAAGATAAAGCAATAAACAAGGGCAGCGGGGCCGTGGAGGATGGGCTGAGGGGCTCTGCCAGGCAGCCGATGGGACCTGCAGAAGGGGAGACACGGCAGGGGCAGCAGTATTCAAGGACAGCCTGGCTGAGAATCTCCCACACTGAGGCCTCTATGGGCCCTCAGAGTAAGAGCACATACCAAGTGCCACGCAAGGGAAGGGATCCACATGTGGTGACCAAGGGCGTGCTCCCTCTGCCAGGCGCATTTTGCTCCCACCACCCCCGTCCCGTGCCCCTCCCCGGAAGCTCCTGCCAATGTCCTGCTCTGGTGTGGCCCCACATCCCATCCTGGTACAGGGAGGAAAGCCCGGGGTTTGGGGTTAGGAGATGCAGGTTCAAGCCCCACATCTGTGACTGCCCCACTGAGCTTCCATTTCTCCTCCTAAAATGGGGAAGAACTAGAATGACAGAAGCTCTGCACCGGAAGGGCCTGTGGGGTGGCATCACCATAGCAGACCTGGCCGCACTTCCTTCCAGCTCCCACAGGAGCCAGCTGGGTGCCACCTCCCGAGTCTCCATTTCCCATCAGCGGAAGGGGATGCTGACACACCCTCATAGGGGATCGTGAAAGGATTTAATGGGTTCATACAGCGTGGTGCCAGGCTCATAATAAATGCTCAACCTGGGGTGGACATTACTATGGCTATAATAATAGGTGCCCCCTGTCCCCCCCCCCCCCCCCGCCATGCCATGCAACCTACACCCAGCGTAAGGGCTTCCCACCGAAGCCAGGGGCCCCCGGCATAGCAGAACCAGGGCCCACCGCCACCTCCACGCCGTGAAAATGGGCCACCCAGCAGGTGACGCCCCACCCTTCTCCCTGGTCACCCCCAGTAGGTCCTCCTTGACCTCCAGGGAAGCCCCCTGGCGCCCCCCCATGACCAACCATGGACTTCCCCCGGTGGGATGGGCTCAGACCCGGCCCCAGGGCCCCCCACCCGTTCCCTGGGCACCCTACCTCTCTCTGCTCACTGCAGATCTTACACAGCCACAGGGGCCGCTTCTGGCCAGGGCAGGCCTCGATCCCACACTTGGTGCAGACTTTCTATAAGAGAGAGGACACGGGGCGGTCAACACTTGAGCTGCTTCCTCCTCAGCTGAGGGGCTGGGGAAGCCGTGGCCGGGGAGCCCTCGGCCGTATTCCGAGGGATGGCTGTGGCTTCAGGCCAGAAGGGCAAATCACCCAAAGGGCACCGGTGGCTCCGGGGCACCAGGGACCTGCCCCCCCATGAATCTCCACGGTACAGATTCACCCCCACAATCACTCTCTGTTAGGAGCACACCACAAATAAGCTGCCCGACATTCACAGCTGCATCATGTTCCACAGCAGAGAACTGGAAGCCGCCCAAACGCCCAGTGCGAGTGGAGGAGCCAAGCACAGGCAGCAGAATACGAGATGGCCCGGGCACAGCGGGCTGCGTCCCTCCCCGGGAAGGTGGGCGGCGGAAGATGTTATGCAACAAAGAAAACGCATTTGTGTATAAGCATGCAGAAAAAGTCACGGACGTGAGGAGATGCTGTCGTGAGAAGGACCAGTGACCGACTTCATGCCCGGTCCCTTCACAGAGTGAGCCCAGGCACCCTGCTCCCTAAGCATCAGGCCCGCCTCACAGTGAGGCCTCGGGGGCTAGAAGCAGGTGGAGACTTTGCCAAGTTCACCCAGCAAGTAGCGGGCTCAGGTCTGGCTCTGGAGCCATTATGTAATTTCTCCAGACACGTAAGTAGCCAGAACCTCGTTCCTGCAGTGGCTGACCTTCTCTGCTGCTTAAGCTCATAACTTCTAAATACATATTTCGCTTCCCCGAAATGCACGGCAACACGGTGGTGGGAGAGGCCGGGTGACATGCCCCGGGAGGCAGGGGACCTGGTGGGGCCGAGACCCGTTCCCGGCTCGCGGTACAGTCTGCCTCGGCGACAGCAGGCCCTCCTCTGAGCACTGGTTTCTGCCACGGCTCTGCAGGCTGGGGGCTCTCTCCGGCCCCCCTACCTGCCCTAGCACCGAGGGAAGGCTGGATCTACCGCCTGGCCTTTCCTGCAGGCTGCCCACTGAGCAAGAGGCACACCCCTCTCCACGCAGAGGAAAATGTCACCAACTTGGCTTCCCAGAGCCTGTCGTCCCCGCCTGATCGGGCAGCTGAGCCCCGCGCTGCAGGAGGGGGAGCCAGCTCTCGGCGGAAGGGAAGCCGACACGTTCTTTGGGCGGGAGGGTATGCATTTGCTACCATCCAATACCGTCCAATGAGAACTGTCACTTTCCTCCTGTTTCTCCAAATAAAAGGTAACCTCCCAGCTCCCAGCTCTCTGGGCTGGCAAGAAAGTCCATCCCCGTCACAGCGGGCCCTTTCCCAGCTCTCATGAAGGTCCCGGGCTTGGGGAAGGTCCCTGTCTGGATGCTCCCTTCTATGCTGCTCTCCCTCTGAGCTCCAGGGTCCCTTGGAGAGGAAGGGGCCTGGCCACCTTTGTGCCAGGCCTGGGTTTGGCAGCCTGCCCCCTGGAGCCCTGGCCCACCACCCGAGACCTGATCTGAAATCCCCTCTTTGCCCCTAGGACTGCCTCTCGTATCCCTCCCAATCTCACCCCCAGCCCTTCTACCTCTAGGACAGGCCCCCCGTGAGCCCATCAGGTGGAAATGCACACAGGCCTCTCCCCCAGGGGTAAAGAGAGAGGAAGGAGGTGCTGACGCCGGTTGGCTGTTTTACTTCTAATTCCCACCACCCGGGATGAACAAATGGTGCACGTGTGAGAAGGAGTGTGGCCCCTCAGGGGGTGAGATGCTCCTGGTGAGTGTTCTACATGCTTATAGGGTTCGATGCCAGTCGCCCTCCAAGCACAGTGCCCTGCCCCGCCCCCTGAGACAACGGTGCCAGGAAGAAGGAGAGAACACGAGACGGGTCGCTACCGTTTCCTGCGCAATTGCGTGTGCCAAGCAACAAAGTATGAAGGAGGGGGAGGCAGGCTCTCCATGATGCAGCTGAAGACATGGAGGCTCGGAGATGGTAAAGGCCGCCGGAGGTCCCTTCGCTACGAAGGCACAATCAGGCTTCGGGACCTAGGAGAGCTGGGTAATGCCCTTCCCTTCCCTGCCCAGTGCCAAGCTGGTGCCCAGGGCTCTCCAAGGAGCCGGCTCACGTGCCTGGGAGTGTGGCTGATGATTCTCAAATGAATGAATGGGCAGAGGTGACACGGAATGACCTGGCACAGGCTGTGCTGGGGATGAGTGTGCAGCCGCATATGCTCATCGGCTCCACGACACTGGTTCTGGGAGTCTGGCTCCGCCCTCCTCGATATTTCTCTGGTTGCGGGGAGGGCGGCCGCTCCTGAACTGAGAGAGGTTTCCCAGGCGGACAGGGAGCCCAGGCCCAGCGGCCTCCCCGGCAACACTCCGTGGGCGTCCCCACAGCCTCCCTCCCACGCTGTGGCCGCCCCGCCCCACACATTCAGCAAAGGTGGGGGGGCTGCGGCCTCTGCCCTGTCGCGGTCAGCTCGGGCTGCTATCACAAAACAAATCCTAGATGGGGTGTCTTACACAGCAGACACACGTTTCACGGTTCTGGGCCGGAACGCCCAGACCGGGGTGCCAGCAGGCCGGGTTCTCGGAGAGGGCCCTTTCTACGTGCCCCTTCCTTCTCGCTGTGCCCTCACATGGTGAAGCGAGAGCTCTGGGCTCCTCCTTTGCGTCTACAGCCCAGATCCCATCACGGTGCCCACCCTCATGGCCTCATCCAACCCCAATTGCCTCCCAAAGGCCTCACTCCAGACAGCATCACACTGGAGTCAGGGCTTCCACCCACAGATTTTGGGAGGACACAGCCCCTGCCCAGGACTGGGCCCCCTCTTTTGCTTCTGCACGCGGGGCTCGTTGTCATCTATCTCACCTGGATGATCCGAGCCCCTGTCCTCCCGAGGTCTCCCCCTCATGCTCTCCTGCCCTGTCACCGACTTCGCTTTCCAGAAACACTGCCCCGAGCCTGCTCCCAAGCACTGCAGCTTGGTGCTCTGGCGCAGGCTTCGGAGTGAGGCAGGCCCGGGTGGGCCCGAGGGCAAGCTACGCAAAGCCTCTTAAGCCTCAGATGTTCTCCTCTGTCAAATGGGATCGGAGCTGTGCCCTAGGGTTGTCTTGAGGGCTCACTGAGACTCACACGAAGAGCGGCCAGCACGTTCTAAGCTTTCAATAACTGCCGGTTATTCTTATCAGCGACGCCCTCGCGCCCTGCTCCGAAACCCTGCGTGATTCTCCTCCAGACCTGCACCAGCTCACGTGGTAGCCCCCGGCCACATGTGGCTATCTAAATCAAAATTAATTGAAACTAGATGAAAGGAAAAGCCCAGCTCCTCGGTCACACTGACCATATTTCAAGTGCTCAATAGCCACACGTCACATCGAATGGCACAGAAATAGAACATTTCCACCATCGCAGGAAGTTCTGCTGGATGGCACTGGGCCCCGGGACCCGGGCCTCGGCTGGGTGCCTCCGCGCTCACCGCTGCCCTCACTGGCCTGTCCCCACTGCTCCCCACAAGGCCCCACTTCCAATCAGCTATCGGGATCCAGTGCTTGCCATTCTCAGCCCGTCCTTTGTCTTGGCCTCACTCCACCCCCCCCCCCCCCACCGCCCCCCATCTGACTCCTACTCGCCTTCCAATTTACTGATTCCCGTGACCGTCACCTCCTGAGTGCCCATGGGCTGCATGGCACACTGCGGGGCAGGCAGGGCCCAGGCCGCATGCGTCCCCAGTGAAGCGCCCAACGCTCGGTCCCATGTCAGCCTGCCGAGGCGGAGTGGCTGCCCGCTGCATTGCCTGAGTGATGTTTAAGCCGGGCTGGAAGGATGGGTGTGCACGTGCCCTCAATAAATATTGTCTGATTGATTAAACATCCATGCTGGTGGGGAACAGAGAAAGAGACCGGGAGGGAGTGCCCTGAGCTGTGTGCTGTCTTCTACCCACAGACCACAGCACACAGACCACTGGGCCTGGGGACAGAGGTGGTGGGGGCCAGATGCCCGCAAGGGGCTGGTGGTCAGCTCCCACGCTGGGGGGGAGGGGAGCGGGGGAGGGTGTGGATGAGTGGCACCTCCCAAATGCTCCCTCCTCCCTTTGCCCTGTGGGGTGCTCTGGAGGGGTTGGGGGTGGTAGGACAAGGCACACGCTCCTCGCCCACGCACAGCCCTGTTTTCAGGCTGCCTCCCATCACTGGTGGAACCCGCGGTCAGATCCCACATCTCTCAGTTGTGTCGTGTCTCTGGCTGGGGAATCCAGGCCAGCAAAAAGATAACATGCTCCAGTTCAAGTAATACATAACTGCTCCTCAGCTAAATCTCCAATCAGTAAGAGAATAATGAGCCTCTTCCCCTACGGGCTTGGTCTTTATTCCCAGGTTCCAAAAAAGAAAATTAAGCTGGTAGTATTTTAAAAATCCAGTGAGAGTATGAGCCAGCTGTGACATGAAGTCAGTGCAAAGGGTGCACTCCACAGCCATGTGAAGGACAGCCCTGGGGCCTGGGGGCCGTCACTTGCTTCCCTGCCTGAGATGGGCTTCCATTGAGCAGAACTGCCCTGGGCAGGTGAGCACTGGCTTCCCCGGTGGTCATGGCTGCCTCACGCTTCCCACAGCCTAGTATTGTGTCTGAGTGTCCAACAAACCAAGTCTAGCTCTGGGCCTCCCTCAGAGCAGAAGTGACAAAAGTACAGGCCTTGCCCTGGCTGGTTTGACTCAGTGGATAATGTGTCGGCCTTTGGACTGAAGGGTCCTGGGTTCAATTCCAGTCAAGGGCATGTACCTTGGTTGCGGGCACATCCCCAGTAGGAGATGTGCAGGAGGCAGCTGATTGATGTTTCTCTTCATCAATGTATCTAACTTTCTATCCCTCTCCCTTCCTCTCTGTAAAAAATCAATAAAATATATTTAAAAAAAAAAGTCCAGGCCTTCAGTTGGCACATACAATCCCCTCAATCCTGTCTCGGGCACTCCATGCGTCCCTTTTGCACACATGTATCCCAGATTAGAGCACACAGGGGGAAGGGGATGGTTCAGGGGAGGGCCC